AAATCCTCATCAATCACAACGGATCTAACCAACGTATGGATCAAAGGTTACGGGGACGACTGCGTTTGTGAAGGAAGCAATGAGCCCTGAAGGAGAGCCGTCGCATGCATTGACTGTCTGGGGCTGCTTGCGTGTACTTCTGCCTCAAGATTACTACTCCATCTCGAATCGTGTCACTCTATCACATCGGAGTGACAGCGTCTGAATCCAAAGCTCTGGTGTCTCGGCTCCCACTTCTGTTTCTCGCCCTCTCATCGACTTCGATACAAAGGTAACAATGGTCATGAGGTGTGACCTACAGCCCACATATATCTGTAGTTACTGGCGCCGAAACCTCCCATTGCAGAACCAAGTTCACCTTTGCTTGCGAGGCAAGATTCGTACAAACCCACGCAAACTGTCCATCCGCGATCAAGCTCATATCCTTGCCGAGGGCCTCTCCGACAATGGTATCTTCCAGCCCCTCCCACTGAGCTACGATGCCCTGCCCAATATCGACCGAGTTTGCTGGTGCCACACTCGATGGTTGATTCAAGCCCTTCGACGAGGAATCTGTGATGTTGGCCGCATCAGACCTCGTCGTCGCATGACCAGAACTCGACAGGATGGTGGGAAGGGCTGGAGAGATGACTTTGACTATGATACCAGCTTCCTCAGAGACGGGTATCTGGTCAATAATCTTGAGTTTTGCCAGTGCGGATGATTTGGTGTTGTGGATCGCCACCCGCTGGATGAAAGACTGCACCCTGTTTGGTTTGGTCATGAAGCCGGTTTGCGTCGCAGTCTTCTTGGACAATGGAGAGTAGGTGACGCGAATAGACGGGTCCAGGCTACTTTCATACAGCGTCCTGAGTAGCGCTTCGAATGAGAGGTTCAGACTACTTACCCAAGAGTGCAGTCAAAGGTTTCATCAGGGCTCACGAACGGTAGATTTGACCTGGCGACCAGGCTGCCATCCACATAAATATTCGCGGGGCCTTGGAGGAGCGTATACTCGGAGTTGTTTTTGACCTTTGCCTGTCAAGGAACAGTCAGTCGTATTGAGCTTCGAGACGATGCGATGCCGGCTTACCTTGAGATATACCCTTGAGTCGCGTTTGGGCACACATACCCATTCCAAGTCGGCCTCGGCAGGGATTTCGGCAATGGCGACTATGTGGGAGGCACTATCACTGGGTATGGTCATCTTGCCAGGCACGACGAAGGAAGCAGCGATACTGCTGCTTGTGCCATCATCGTTCGTGGTGATATCGCGATTGGCAAAAGGTATGATGGGAGGGGGTGGAGAGATGGACGGGGACGCCGGTGCGTAATGAGGAGAAACATTGCGACGAGTGTATAGCCTGGGATCGGAAGGTATGGGTGCCCTCATGGAGGGCGGCATGATCACCTGAGGAGCAGGTCTCATTCTTCTGGGCGAACGAGACCGACTGCGTGAAACTGCCCGCCAGGGAGGGGCAGAACGCTGGGATCTGACGGTCCAGCGCGAAAGGGACGGGATAGCCATTCCAAAAGTCGGCGAAGCCGTTTCAAGCTTGATGGCTGCGTCGTTCCAATCCTATAGGAGTGAACTAAGAGCAGGAAGGTAAAGACATTCCGGAAAGCCTTTACCTCTCCCGTATCCTGAGTAATAGAGGCCTTGTATCCAATTGCCATGGGTGATGCTTCAGCGTCTGTGTCGACCCTGACATCGTATAGGCAGGCCCATTTTGCGTTAGAGACGGCTTTTGACGCCAGGAACGGTCATTACTGCCCAGAAATACTTGAATAGATTGCCGAACGCACCATAGATGATAATGAGTTCTACATCGCTATCCTGTTCTGAAACCACAGCGATGGAAACCGCAACGGTTCGACGGGTCTCTGAAACAGACCTAATCCCTTCGACCTGGATCCTCTGTTCCAGTTCTGACCTCTCCTTCTTAAGCTTGATAATCTCATCATCCAACCTTTTGGCGGCCTCTTCATAGTTCTGAGTAACCTCCTTCAACTTCGAAACGTCAACGTATTGGGCTGTGGCACTCTGGAGATACTTCTCGGTGGACGAGACCAACGAGCGCGTGCGCCCTAAGGCATTGACCGTTCTCTCCAATTCTTCCTTCAATGCCGCAATCTTGGGGTCGGCAGTATCCGCCTTTTTCGCCGCCGGCGGGGAGATTGTGACATCCGTGATAGTAGCACTCCCCTTCCCTTCAACCCTATTAGTCGTTAGCTTGTATGGGAAAGGAAGAGGACCGAATAGAGCGCACCTCAAGGATTCCCGGTTCAGAACGTTTGGCAGTCCTGAGATCCTGACCTGATTGGCACCAGCTTTCAGGCCAATCTTGAAAGATCGCGTAACCTCTGCATGCGCAGAGTATACAGAGACACTGGATATTTCCCCGTGCTCTAAGGTGTTCAGCTCGACGGAGTGAACCGAGCCTGTGACGAGGGCGCTCATAGGATAGTAGCAAGGCCGTGGTTGGAAGACAATGGAACGAGTCTCTGATGGCCTCTATATATGTGGGTTCTGTATGCAGTGCTCCCTTGTTTTTGTGTTGCGCTTGCCATAGAAGCAGCCTCCGAGAAAGTCGGCCAATGGTGCTCAAAGATTAGCAAATGCTCCGGTAGCGTTCTTGATACATAACCGTTGAGAGTGTGGCGCTGGTCCTGCTGAAGCGTTGAGCGTTTGAACTTTGATGGCGCCAATCCCATCGGGGGTCGTGGTTCGACAAGGCCAGTCATGGTTTGGCGGAATCTAAAATAAGCACAAACAAACCCCCTAACTTCTAGCGCCTTGCAGAGGGATGTTTTGGGGTTATGAGCGAACTGCTGCACTTCAACATGGCCAATATCCCAAGCTCTTACCAGCTGGACCATGACAACGCAACGCTGGCAAGCTCCATTGACATCAACATCTCAGATGTCCTGCGATATACGTGTGGAAGCTGGGCCGGCCACCTGCCACTGACGCCCGGAGAACAGACCAATGATCTCCTCGTTCTTCTGCACGAACTCCTGCAACTACGATTCCTGTTCTGGATCGAGGTCATGAGCCTTTTGGGATGGCGTGGTCGTTGCCAGGGCATGCTTCGAGATGCCCAGAACTGGGTTGCCAAACTCAAGTTGTGCTCTACCCAGTTAGTCATCCGCTCGACGCTAACACCTCCTTCAGGAACCTGTGGGGTGCACCAGGGAGTTGGCCGATGCAGGGGCGTTTGCCATGTATCATAATACAAGCGGGGCTGCATCGTCAACGCCTCATTTGTACATTTCATCCCTTGCCACGTTCCCCCGCAATTCATCCCTCCTGCAGGAGTGGAGGCATCATTTCGAGGGCATCCCTGAGTTCATCAATGCGCGCCTATTTAGCTTCGACGCGGGAACATATACGACGAAACCATTGCCAGTCCGTAGGCCCACGAGACTTACTCGAGAACTCCATAAAATTTCTACCCAGCTTCCCAGCTTATTATGGATAGGTCTTTTAACTGCTAACACTTGGAAAGCAGAACGAGAACATGCTGCAAACTGAAGACCCTGTTGAACACGATTAATTCGAACTGGACATTGCCTTCCCTTTTGGCTTCAGATAATAGAGCTTTAAATTGGAGAGGAATATCAAGCCGTCTTCTGACGATAATGCTTCCGAGTTCGATATCGTGTGCTTTCAGCTGGGGAGGCAGCGCTCTGCCCGCCTTATCGTCATTCCATCGATCTCACTCAAACAAAGGTTTGGATATACTTTGAACTTGGATGAAAAGGTGAGATCATGGGCACCCGATAAGTATTCAGAGGATCTTAAGCCACTATCCCGTACCCCAGCTGCGTCCCTTGGTAATCCAGTACTCTGCTGAATTCCTCGATGTCGAGGTTGTTTAACCATTGCGCGCTTAAAGGAAACATTTCCTCGCAAGTGGGAGCTACGATTCATACCCCACATAATGTGTCCTTCTGTTTTTACATCACAAAGGGTTCGGGACGCAGGTGCAGGTCGAGCACTGCAGCGTCGTTCCAGGCAGGCAGCCCAAAAGGCAGCAGGTGATCGTTGGTGGTGGGCTTGACAATGTGCCCTCAGGCACGGGATTGGCACTGACCATGGCAAGCCCTGAGAGGAGTGCGAATGCGGCTAAAATGGCTGACTTCATGTCTGCGAGCCTGGCCATTAGTAAACCCTATAGTAGGTTTGCATGGCTACTCACCTGATGGAGGGTAAATTTCTCTGACCTCTTAACAGCGTCCTTTCGATGCCTTTATAGTCTGCTGCGTCCCGATAAGTTAGGCACGGACTCGCCAGGTACTCCCAGGTTCCTGGGGTCAACGGGCACGGCAGCCCGCAAACGCTACTTCTTCCCATAACGCCCAGAGCTCTATGGCTGACTGAAACATGGCTTCAGGTGGATTTCTGGGTACAGTGTAATGTCGAATGGGGATGGACCCTGCTTCTGAGCGCTACGTGATCGATACCTTGCGTCAACTTTGACCCCATGATAGGCTCAAAGGGAATCGAAGCTGTCGAAGTTGCTTATTATGATTTCTATACCAGAAATTCTGATGCTATGGTATGCCCACTAGAAATCGCTCACTGGTACATTTGGAGTTTCTCTGGTCAATGACGGGTTAGAGAAGGTATAGCTATTATTAAGTGATAGTTAAAAACATATTGCAGATGGTGGGCTCAGTTCGCTTAAGGCGCGTTCATAACTTGAAAGACCGAAGTTTCTGGTCAAAATCCTGTAAAGGTTGCTTCTTGAATCTCCCCTGAAACTTTGTGCTGAAACAACTTCCTCCGGAGTGCCCGTCCCCAGCGTGTGATGTCCGGTGCAGCCCTTGGGGTGGCAGAATTTACTGAAATTGGCTTCCGGTCATTTACTTCAGCTACAAAAATAAGCCCACTGCTTATGGACGTCCAGAAGATGCTTAGGACTCGGAAGGTTGGTCTATCCACTTCGAAGTAAAATGATCGCATCACTCGCGACTCCCACGACCTCTTGGCATCGCTCCTCATCGTTCCAAAACGATAGCAACAACTCGTCTCGATCGAGTGACCTCAGGGTTACCGGCCACGTACACACGCCGCAGCTGTTGCGACGTGTGCACGTGACCTATGAGCCCCGCGCGCTACCACTGCGCCATATTGCTCTAGAAGCAAGAATTTTGAACATATTGTTATCCTGTCCAACGAGAGAGCTGGCGAAGGGACCCAGAAAGACTCTTTAAGGAGCGGGCGCTTAACCACCTCCCTATCATTGATCGACTTCCTTTCCCACGGCCGATACGTAAAGTGTCAATCAAACGTCACCCGTCATTAGCTCGATTTGGCTCACTGTTGTCTTCTCTCCTCTTGACCATGTTGGCGGAATTCAACTGGTCTACGGCAGGGCAGGTCGTAGCTGGGCTCCTGTTCGCAAATAGGGTTTTAAACTGGGCTCTAGCGTATGCGAAGCACAGAAGCCTTCGTTCCCCTCCAGGACCCAAGGGCTACCCAATTCTTGGTGTTGTTGGCCAAATGCCGCATCAAGAAGCCTGGAGGGTATACGACGAGTGGAGGAAAGAGTTTGGTATGCTCTCCGAGGCCAGACTTTACATCCGCTTATCGTACCTCCAGGCGACGTGATCTATTTTGAACTACTCGGCAAAGGCTTTCTCGTCCTCAACTCGGTTTCATCCATCAATGATCTCCTCTCCTCGCGTGCCAACATCTACTCTGACAGAATCTGGTCGCCTGCTACTCAGATGTGAGCATCCTGAACTTTGCTCATCATCCACGTTCTCACTATCTCCAGTGCGGGGAGCTCAAAGAGCATGCTGCAGCTCAACTATGGCCAGGAATGGCGCGACCAACGAAAGGCTTTCCATCGGATGCTCGGACCTGGCCAAATCAGTCAGGTGCACCCCATAATCGAGGAGGAGATCCAACCCTTCTTGGCTTCCCTCGTGGAGAAACCCAATGGCTATCGAAATTCCATGCGCATGTGGGTTTATCCTCTCATTTCATGGCATGTTACTCACTCTACGCAAAGGTACCTAGGGACAGTCATCCTTCGCGTTACCTACGGAGAATCAGATCCCGAGTACAACCGAAAGCTCATCGCACTCTCCGAGAACATTACAGCCGAATTCTTGGACATCTTTTCACCAGGAAGAATGCTCGTCAGTGTACTCCCAATCCTTCGCTTCGTCCCCTCTTGGTTCCCTGGTGCAGGGTGGAAGCGAAGGCTAGAGAGGTATGCAAATATGAGGGAAGCAGCGGCGTCATACCCTCTCAAAGACACTGCACAGCGATTGGTGTGTGGAATTTTGGTCCCTTGAAACGTGGTTTACATTGTCCTTCAGAAAAGTGGACTGCAGAAAGGGACGAGTATGGCCAGTGAGCTTATTCAAGACTTGCCAGAGCCAACAGATCCCAGCTACCAATACCAATACGACGTAATAAAAAATGCAGCTGCTATCGCATATCTTGGTGAGTATCGACGTCTATCTGGTTGAGCTCTATTCTGACTACCCAACTACAGGCGGCGCTGATACAGTACGTGAACATGCTGCCTGCGAGCTATCTCACTGACAATACCAGACATTCAGCTCTGGAATTGCTCTGCTCCTCGCCCTCGCAATGCACCCAGAGGTTCAACGCAAAGCACAACAACAAATCGATGAAGTAGTTGGTGCAGAGAGGCTTGTACGGTTCGAAGATTTGGCTTCGCTTCCATACCTCCAGGCTATCATCAAAGAAGTGGGAAGATGGCATACGCCAATCCCATTGAGTGAGTGGATCAAGCATCTCTGGGACCTAATCAGCTAACGTTCAGCAATAATAGACTTTCCTCATGGTTTGCGTGAGGACGATTCATACAATGGGTATCACATCCCGGCCAAGACCACGATCCTGGCAAATAGCTGGTAGGAGCACCACTCGATCCATGCATCCTCGCTGACCATTTACTAGGGCTGTGATGCACGACCCTCAAAACTTTGACTCACCCATGGAGTTCATGCCCGAACGATACCTTAACACTGATGGCACGCTAAACAACTCAGTCATGGAACCTGAAGATGCGGCATTTGGCTATGGCAGAAGGCGGGTACCCTCACGAGTAACGAAGGGATTCTAGCTAACACATCTCTTCAGAATCTGCCCAGGTCGGTATCTAAGTACCGACTCGCTCACCTATATGGCCGCAAACATCCTCGCATGCTTCAACATCAAGCCAGGAAGAGACAGGAATGGAAACCCAGTGCCTTTGGAGCTAAAGCCCACTTCGGGTATAGTCTCGTGAGTTGTCCTGTTAACTAAAACTTTGGACAATGCTGATCATGAGAGAATCGTTCAGGAATCCGGCGGAGTTCCCTTGCGAGATCGAACCTCGTTCACAAGCGCATAAAGCCATGTTAACCAAGCTGCAAAGTGTATAACCCTCTTGTCGATCATGTATTGATCACTATAGCAGCAATCTGATGACACCCAAAGAACCCTCAAGTCTTCCAGATAAGAAACGCGAGTGGTCCGACATAAAAGTAGATGAAATGCTTCGTTTCTGCCCAACATCGTCAGTCAAAGAGCACCCCACACACCCCGGTGGATTCACACTCACCATGAGTCACGAAGCTCCCAAAGTTCTTCCCAACGATAACATGCCAAGTCGTCCCATGCTTCCGATCTAGAGCCTTCTTGATAAAACTCGCCATGTCCTTTTCAATGTCAAACTTTTGCATCGCAGAAGAGACGAGGTCAATAGTCTCTTTCTCCATCTCTGGGGTCATGTCGACAGCTTTGATGTTGATTTTGTCCTTTTTCGCTAGGGTAGATGGCGAATCGCCAACAGCAGCAGTGGCAACGACGGTCTTGTCTGACATTGTGCTCGAGGGGAGGGAGGCGTGGGTGTCTTACCTTTCATCACCCATCCACCATTGCTTGGTTTATATAATTCTCGCCCCGCTGTGGCACGGCAAAGGTCCAAGGTCGCAAGCGGTGGCTTGACACAGACACGTTTGCAGCCCGTGCCACCGAAAACGGTCAAGAGCAAAAGCGAAACGTAATGGGGTAAAAATTTGTTGATACTACGATATTGATTACCGCCCTTTCTAATTTGCGGCACGTGCATCCTCAATGATGACCTGCGCCCGCCTTCTCCGAAATCATATACACCGCCGAAACGATATACAACCCCGGAATCTTTGGGAACACACTCGCATCCACCACCCTCAATCCCTGCAAACCCTTCACCCTAAACTTGGAATCCACACACTCACACCATCCCCCTCTTTCCCAATCGGTACAGTACAACTAGCATGATGACCCCACGCTTCATTCCTGATCCATTCTTTGACCTGCTGTTCAGTCCTGATGCTGGGTCCAGGGATCGTCTCGGTCCATGTCCCACCCCAGAGGAAGCGTACGCTCAAACATCCTCCGCGAGAGTACGACACCCTCGTACATTGCCTGCAGATCCGCGTCACCCCCCTCTCGCCCAGCTCCTAAAGTTGATCTCGGGCACGTCTCGAGGGTCCTTGGATCGCAGCGTCACCGTGCCAGCATTGTTTCGACTGTGGGCCTTGAGCAAGATCCACGTCCATTGACGCGGGATGGCGCTCGTGCGGTTGGAGTAGCCCGGAAAGTAGCCGTAGAACGCTGCAGGTGCTCCGGCAATGATGAGGTCGGCCTCGGTAGGGTGCTGAGACGCTTGACTTTTGCACGATGCCGAGGGCGAAACCGTTGGTGCTGTACGACCCTCGATCGAGCGGGTTGTTCTTCCACTGTTCGTAGCAGGGATCGACAGTGGTGTTGAGGAACGTGCAATCTTTGAGGATGGTGATGTCTTGGTTGGTGATACCGACGACGCCGACCTCGTAGCGGTCTTGGAGGTTAGTACCAACTGCGGGGTTGTCAACCACCACAGGTGATATCAAGGGCTTCGAGTTCGGCTCGTGGACCGATTCCAGATAGTTTGAGGATTTGGGGAGTATTGTAGACGCCACCAGAGATGATCACTTCTTTCGAGGCAAAGAAAGATCCTGAACCAGAAGGCTCCTTTGGTGGTGAGTATCGAGGGTCTGCGCTGTACAACGACTCCCCAGCGAGGTACTCGACACCAACAGCACGGGGAGCGCCTGAAGTCGATTGGTCAAAGATGACGCGTGAGACGAGGGTGTTGAGCCGAATGTCGAGTTTGTACTTCTTCTTTCCGTTTCCCATCGACGGCGTTGGCGGTGTCAAGGATGAATTTTCGAGGACTAGAACGAGCTCGAGAGCCCAAGGTGACTGATGTAGGGACTTGGTAGAGGCCGGGTATGTTGTCTCTGTTGGTACGTCAGTATTGAGGTCCAAGACGAGCACCTGTGCAAGCCCTCCAATCGTTGATAACAGCCCTCCGAGGAGCCCCTTCCCTAACGCGGTCGCTGCTCCTTGTACCAGCGAAATCAGCTTGATGTCCTTCAGCAGCAGGCGGAGGTCCGTCACGGAGACGTCGAGGGTAGCCCTTGTAACCATGCCCTGGTGTCCCTGGAAGGGCATACTGGTTGTTCTCGATGTTCGTCCACATCTTGCGCATGTTTTGAGGCGACCACGAAGCATCACCTGTGATATCGGCGATGTACGAAAAGTCGGTCGCGTGAGGGTAGATGGTGGACCATGGCATTGTGCTGAGAGCACCCGCCCAGTGCTCCTGCTCGTGGGGTAGTAGATCCCGAGCGGCTTGCTGGCCTGCAGGTGGATTGGGCCCAACGAAGAACCGCCCATCTGGCCGTTGCCAAGTGAACTTGGAGTCCCTCTGCGCCTCGGCAGGATCGTCAAAGTGGGAGACGAAGAAGTGCCAGGAAGATGGGGGGATACTCGGAAGATAGGAGACTGAGAGCTGGGACTTGGACGACTGGAGCGTCGCCATGGTCGCCTCCTGCGTCAATGAGAAGGACGGAAAAGCCGGCTTCTGCTAGCCGGGCTGCAAGTGGACCACCTCCAGGACCAGAGCCTACGACAATGTAGTCGTATGTGTTCTCAGAGGTTTGGCCGATCTGGCGAGCGGAATGGGAGGTCAGCCCCGCGCTTTCGCAGTTAATCAGTAACAGTGGCCTTCAAAAAACGTATCAGAACATACACCGCTATTGCCAGAGTGGCCACTGTGCAGAGAGCGGAGCGCAGAAACATG